ACTGTATTTGACCTAATTGAAGAATGAAATTATACAATATTCTTAAACTTTGAAAATGTATATAAATTCATTATTTATGAATAATTACAAATATTACATGACATACAATAACTTTGGTAGACCCTTGAAGAATTGTTTGTTTGGCTTTTAAGATTCTGGGGAATTATATAAATATAAAAATGGTAATAAACATCGCAAATATTTGGGCCAATGATTAATGAGTTTACTAATTTTCCGAACAATCAAAAGAAAAAAAAAAATCGTACGTATTTACGTACAGTATATACAATTTTGCTTTATCAGTTATTATTGAATCATTCGAGATTTCTCCATCTTTACGTATTCAATAACTATTTTAATTTTTAAGGTATAATAAAAATTTTCAATATATATATATATATCAATATGTATATATATTTATTACGTACTATTTTATTCCCGCTTCTAAATAAGCGTTATAAATATTTATATAATTCCTAAACGTAGCATATATTCGTTGATCCGTTAGACATCCCTAAAAGCTCGGGCAAAATAGGGTGTATAGACTAAACGTAACCGGCTGTGTTCGTTGTCATGTATGATGATGATCTTGAGTTGAGATACTACGTACGTACGTACGTACGTACTCGGCCAAAACCATTGCTTCGCTTCCTTTAATGGAATTGAAGTACGATGTTTGAGAAGATATTCATTTTATAAAATGTGTGGCTACTCCGGATATATTGTTTATTCCTTTTTTGTGAAACCTTCAAGGTCCAGTACCGAAGATAAGCTCCTTATATTTAAATGTTTAAAATTCCTGGAATTGGGCGATTCTTTCATTTAACTAATAGTTACTTACTTAATAGGTAATTCTTTTTGTCGATAGCTTAGCTTAGTCGTGACGCTGTATCTTTTCTAATATTTAAAGTTTTCAAAGGTTACAATCTATAGATTGTCTTATTTAGCCTGATGATGTTACTTTGTTATTGTACATGAATGGTTACTTCGGCTTTAAAAAATTTTTCTACTACAAATACTACAAATACTACAAATTTAACAAGCGACTTTTTATTATCAATTGTCGTATTCTAATGTCTGTGTCCAATAAAATTTCGTCGGAAAAAACGCCATGTATTGGAACAAATAATATTTTGTTTCCAGATTGCGGGTCTGGTAAAAGGTCATACCCGAGCTTATGAATTCCGGGAGAAGTATTATCCACTATCTTAATACTATCTTAATACAATCTTAATACAGCTGGTCATGCGCAAAAAGTGTATGCATCAAGAACAACAATAATACTATTACAAGAAAGATGCGATACGCCAACCAATACAATAACTACAGAAAAAAAATGTATACAATAATGCAAGCACAAACTTTGTCAATCCGGATCATTGTTTGCATTCTTACGCCCACCATATAGGGATGTCCGAATATATCGACTTACATTTTACGTATCGGTATGAAGCGTTAATGCATTTCCATTTGCAAGAAATTTTTTTTCTTACAAGTAACTTACTCAATGATCTAGATATGTAAGAATGATGTATTACTATGCAATGCATACGTGCATAAATTAATTTCAAAAAAACGGTACGTATCTCGGCGGCATCTCTTATAGTTCAGATATTTTAACTCCTTTACGAGGAATATGCGTGACAATCGTCAGACGTAGTTTTAGTAGTTTTAGGCGTAATTGAGATCCCTAATTTAGAGGTCTAGCAAATATAACGAATAAGATGTTTCATATCCAACAGGATTTGAGCGCAGCAAAATCTATCTCGAAATTTTCGAAACTTTCGAAACTTTGATTTAACTATCTATTTATTACATAGTTCTTTACCAATATACTTGTTACGTACAATCACACTAATCTCAACCAACCTCAACTAATCATCTCAACTAATCTCAACTAATCATCTCAACTAATCTCAACTAATCTCAGCTAATCTTAGCTAATCTCGAATCTAAGCTAGATGTTTATTAGCATATATATATGTATGATTATGTAACGCTCAACATTGAGTAAATCATCAAAGATAATTCTGTAATTCTGTAATTGAAATGAACAAATCAGGAATCTGATCATTTTCTTAATAGTAAACATTGCGAGAATGACATTTTTTTTAAAAAAAATCTCAAAATGATAAGGTTTTCTGACATAATCAGTAAATTAATGTCAAAAGTGGGATTTTTTAAATCGCGTATTAGCAATTGTCTAGTGGCATATATTCATATCCATACAATGTTCTCTGCGTAAATCGAAATAACCAAATCTGGGATTGTATTAAATCAAGCTTAAATGCTATTCATTCTTTTGACAGGTAAAAGCCGAGAAACACTTGCATATGTTTTGAAATTTCATAAAAAAATGTAGTCATGCATGTTGATATTTAATGAATATGTGAATATGTGAATATGTGAAAAGAAACAATTTATTATAATTTATTATATAATCAATTGCATTAAACTTAAGAAACACAATAGACTATTAATTATTATTAATTGGCATATTAATTAGTCATTTTTTTTTAATGAATTATCTATCCGTAGTAACAATATTCATACGCATATATGTACAATAAAATATTTCAAATATGCGCGATATTTGTTTTTTATACGCGATTTGTCATAATAAATCAATTACTGATCAATACAATAATACAAGGCATTCCATATAAAATATTCAAGCATGCATATATGTAATAAGCTTTCGATCTTATATGCTAGTCGTCTGATAATATGTCTGATAATATGTCTGATAATACTGTATGTCTGATAATATGTCTGATAATATCGCAGTAACTTGTATGCGAATGACGTGAGAATAAGAAATTGTTTGTATGCACCTTGGTCACATGCATAAATATGATTTCCAAGTAGAGACTTGAATGCCGGAAATGATGAGAATAGCCGAATGCATCACCGCCTTAACATCAGCCAATATTGTCAACAGGTTTTTAATTATTCCAAAGTTTGCTTGTTTTTCGATTTGGTTTTTTTGTTTTTTTTTTTTGTATTTATGAATCGATTTACACCGAGAATAAAGTTTGTTGGAAACTCCATGGGGTTACTTTAATTGTTGTTGTAGATTTGTTCAAATATAGATCACGGAGAATTTTATAGCAATAAGCAACAATCAACACTTTTCTTTTTGAATTGATTCTCCCATTTTTGTCTTTAGAATCTATTGTTTTCGCTTGAATACTTCCTTTTTACACTCCAATTCCATTCTTAGATTTATTTTGTAGACATGCATGAATTATGTCACACTATATGCCAATGAAATAATGGGATAATTGTGAGCAAGTTTGTCAGCCTTCCGATATGTAATGCCATGTACAGCAATAGGATAAGATGCTTAACTAACCTTTAATGTGGTTTTTAGGATCTTTCCGTAGTTACACTTTACTATGACATCTACTTGTATAATGTACATAATGTACGCTCTAATCCACTATCTATCGGAATAATAAACAGTAATGATATTATCATCATAGATTATTACTATCGCTATTATTACTATTTAATAATAATATTATTATTACGTAAATTACATATTATCATTATTATTATTACCGTATTACGTATTATTATGACTATTATTAAGGTTACGATTATTATTACTATTATTATGATTATTATGATTATTATTTTATTATTTTATTATTTTATTATTTGAATTACATCTTGATATACATTTCCAACGCCAGATTCCACATAATATTTATTTGTTAATTATTTACACCTTTGTTCTCAGCATGCATTAGCGATTCCGCTAAAAAACAAACAACATGAAAGATACCCGCCCCACTTTTTTTTTAATTTGGCAACACGGGAAACTTAACCGCATCTTAACCAACGCGTTATATCAATTTTGAATACAATAAACATGAATGAGGTATGATTTGTACATAACATATTATTTGTTTTTTTGTACCACCAGATTTCCCTTTTATTGTTCCGAATTCGTTCACCTTTTTTAGTTGGAAAGAAAAAATCTTTTTTTTTGTTTTGATACCAGTTTTGGTTTAGAATCTTATTATACTTTGTTATCCTTTAGCAATTTATATATGATGACACTGTATGGGAGAACAATAGCATATGGTTTTTGATTTTTTTTTTTTTTTTTTTTTTTACAGACCCAATCGTGTAAATTTGTTTCTACCAGAGGGAAAATAAACTGACACTGCCATAAAAAAAAATTACGCATGTCGGTATGTCGGTATGTTCCATAACTCTCAAAATATCAAAATATCAAAATATCATGACGTAGAAAAAAAGTAGTGCTATCCGGATGAATCTGTAAGCAAGCATTGTAGAACCAAACATTGTTGTTTAATGGAAATTATGATGAACTATATGTAAATTGTAATACAATGATATTCCGCCCAAAAATAAATCGTATGTTCTGTTGTCCTCCAAAGACCAAAAGTATTTATTAACGCCAGGTTCCTTATTGATGAAACACTAGCATAAATGTTTATATTAAAGGTCAGCTCACATTTTAAACTACGTTTCAAACTCGGCTGTCAAAATATAAAAATAGGGGTTTAATATTGTATCACTTAAAAAATAATAGTTATAATAATAAAAAAAAAAAAAAAAAACTGCAAATCTAAATATATATAATATAATAATATCGCATACATTATTGATACATTATTGAGCTAAATTAATATAATAGCATAGCATATTATATACAGATATATGAGGGGAAAAAAAAAAAAAGTAGTGTTCATCTGCAAAATGAATACAATTGACTATAAGAACCATAATATATATTATATGTATCAATTGGTGAAACTCGTATAAATACGACCACTCTTTTGATATCTTTAAGGGTGTTTGACTCTAATATAAAAAAGAAGGCAGGGACCCTCTGTATGCCACTTTCTCAAGACTCCCATGCCAATTCGATTTACGATTATTTGAGTGATTATTGTTCGGATTCGTCATCTGAATCACCAGAGTCTTAACCGCGCATAAAAGTGCTCACTCTTCCCATTTCAAACATGACTGATGTCGCACATTCTGTGAGTCTGGACCAACGTCTCGATTGTCCTCACGATCCAGTTTCCTTTCCTCAATATTCTAATACTCCTACGTCTGCTACTTTCGCTGTCACTACGCCAAGTATTTTATCAGCTAATCAACAAATTTCTGACTTAAATTTGGCTCCATTTGGCGGTTTCGATTTATCAGGTGAAGCATCATTTGAAGCTGTTAATTTTTTCGAACCGCAAAACTGGCATGCCTTTCTCGCTGTTATGAACTTCCAATTTCATCCCCAACAACAATCAGACCAAGATCTTTCTCACTCACCTCAACAACATTCGCGACAATTTAACGAAATGGCTACTTATCATCAATATTCTTCTGTAGACGTTCAACAACCAATGTTGCAGTCTCCTGCAACTCCACCTTTTGTTGAACCATCTGCAAATTATTTTGCAATTCCACCCACGACTACGTCAAATTTACCTTTACAGTCTTCGCCTTATTTTAATTCGACTTTGTCTGCCACCCTACCGGCTACAAATAATATTACTAACGTTCAAAATTC